TACGAGAGCAGACAACATTGGTAACCAGATCAACCAAGGAGCTAATAAGTAGCAAAGATATAATGAAGAAGTTGAACTTTCACTTCCCAGTCATTCCCCACACTCTACCTATGGACACACTTGACTACACAGTTCATCTGCCTAAATCTAGATGTTCTATAAAGAGAAATCTAGTTTCTTTAAAAGAACGCAATTGTAACTATGCATTCTTGTAGTACAATGTTAAATCTTGGAAAGGTTGTATTTGTTTCTAAGTTGGAATGTTCAGGAAGACTGTGACAATCTGATTTTACTATGGACAAGGATTGTCTTGTATGGCTTTCCTACTGCTTTCAGTTACATAGGAGTAAACCTACTCCACAGCAGGTGGGAGATGCCAGCACAGGAGTGTCTTGAAACCTCATATAAAGACCCAGTGCCTTATTTGATATAATCAGAAACCCTTGGCCATCTCATATGGTGAATAAAGAATAACTACCCTGCAGTTTTTTGAAAAAAATATTTCTACTGGTCATAAAATTTTGTGATTTTTTGTTTTTTTTTGCAATCCATACAAAAAACCAGATGGATCAGAAAGCTACCCTTCCAAAACTAGGTGGTAAACACAGCAGCTTTTTTGTGATCCACACAAAAATCTTACCCTGAAATAGGCTCTTTGTCTTAGCATCTAAGAATGTGTTACACTGTCACCTACCTGCGATAATTCCTAAGCGCGAGTTATCAAAGAAATTTGTTGGGCAGTTCAGTGGCATTGACTGTGGCGTGTCCAAAGGCAAAATTGGCTGCATGGAGCGCTCCCTGCAGGGAGAAGCTGGCAATGCTGAAAGAGATGGGGCTGCCACCTTCCTTGGAGATTTGATTTTCTGCTCCTCACTGGTGTCCCCCAAGGTACGCTCCCTCCTCTTCATAGCTCGCTCCTTCCATTTCTTAATTTCTTCTTTCAAGATAAGTTCATTTCTTAAAATATACATTAGATATATTTAATCACCTGATGTCCAGATCATTTTATTCCCTTATTCTACATTCCCATATTCTTAGCCCATTCATTTTCTTCTTCTAAGCAATGCTTATACTTGGCTTTTTGTAGGAGCTTGCGTGCTTGTCCCTTTGTTATCCATGCATGCATGACTTATAACAAGGTGGGCAACCTGTGACCTCCAACCCTCTTTTTGTGAACTTTGGTGTCACTCCTTGGCATGACTACTAAAAATTAGTGGAGTAATTTCCCACCATTTGGAGCCAGAAAAATATATGAGAGCACTAATATACAGTTTTTTAAGAATTGTACCCCCAAAGCTCAGAAGAAAAAGGAAAACCTAAGTCTTAACCATTCTGTATCATCACTCAATCCACTGCAATCCTCAGCCATTTAAAAAAGTTAAGTGTGGCTACCAGCCAGCAAAAGACTGCTCATGCCTAACTTAGAATTTAGAACTTTGCTTCCTGCTTTTAGAATAAAGCTGGCAAGCAAGAAACATGGTGCCAGGAAAAGCCATTCTGAATGAGATCATGAATTTGGGGCAAAGCTTGTTTTTCACTGGCAACTATTTATCGTTTTTCACTGGCAATCTCCCCAGGGTTTACTTAACACTAATTATGAGATGATCCCCCCAAAAGTGATGGTCCTCACTCACAGGCTCCAATGTGCCCACAGACATTTTCCTTGGCATCATTCCATGCTAGCTGTTTTTTGAATGGTTAAACCCTACCAGGAGACATCTAGAACATGCTGTCAATTTTCTAAATGTGCTCACTGTACAAAAAAGTTGGGGAAAAGCCCCCCCCCCCCCCCGAAAGCCAGGCAGCAGTTCATTTGCTTGTGCAAACATTTCAAAGATCTGATAAAACCGAGGAGCAGGCCAAATGTAATCAATCAGTTCCACGGAATGGTTTGCCAAGCCCTCTGTTACGCTTGGATTTTGCCAGGCCAATATCTTCAAATGTGTGGAGAGCTTAATTATCTTTTAGACAAATTTACCTGTTCAGCATGAAACATTCAGATACATACAATCAATGCAAGCAGCATTTCCAGGCAGAATATGAAGACTTACGTCAACAGAAGCTCATGTTCTTTCTTGAGTTGAGCATGTTCCTTTTCCAGCTTTGCATGCTCAGATTTTAACACTAGCATCTGGGTATTCTGTACAATTCCACTACCGCCACCACAGGTAATTGGTAGAGATGGCCGAGGAAGGTCTTTGTTAGACATTACTGAAACATTGTTCAGAAGGTTATTAGAAACTAAGAAGATATAGCACTGTAAGTCTTTTGCAGGTGGCAATATTCCTACTCAAACATCACAGCTTTTTCAAAACCACCTGTTTGCAGTACATGATATAATTTGGGACCAGATATTCAAGAGACAGTGGCTCAGGATAGGGATTTTATCACAGGATTTGAGACTTCCAACATTTATGATTGTAAAAAAACTGAGGCAATTAAAAAGAGCTAGCAATAAGGGAAACTAACCAGCATAAATATATTCAAGTAGGACTTTATCAAAATAGCCCTGAAAGTGTTTCTTAGTAGTTTGGGAACACATGAAGGAATGAGTTTCAAAGATGAAAAGGTTTTCCTGCTTGACTCTCATTGGTGTAATTCTAAACCTTAAAAACCCATTTCATACAGTCAGAAGCTAATGCTCTGGTTTGTACTTACCTGTTACATCATGATCTTGTTGTGCTTTACGAAGTTCTTCCTTTAGCTTTCTTATTTGCTCTTCCCTGTGGTCTGCCAGAGCTTTTGCATTGGCCATTCTAGGACAGCGAAGACTCAGTTTTAGATAAAATTATCAATTATCTTAGTCTACAGTTACTTTTTGCAAAAGTAAGCAAGGTTGCATTCAGTTAGAAACCTCCTAAAAGCCCTGTTGACAATCCAGTACAGGACCATTGACCAGTACAGGACCATTCCAGTACAGATAAGTCCTCTACTTGCGAATTTTCATCTTGCGAACTTTCACCAATATAAACAAGATGGACCTGGAAGTCAGAACTGGAAGTTGGGCCAGAAGTAGGAACCAGAAGTCAGGAGAAGGCACACTGCAAACTAGCCCTTTTCCACCTTCTCCTGCCTTCCGTTTGCTTTGGAGGTTTGCGCTCGAGTCGGAGTTCAGGGGGAAAACTCACATGCAAATGTATAGGATAGGGGCTACCA